TGTATGAAAAAAACCGTAGGATAAATAAGTCGTTAGTAAAAAATGCTTGGCAAACTCTCCTCATCTACTTAGTTTTGAATATTATTATTATTTTTCTCATTTTTTATTCTAGCTTTACTTTTATTTTTTATGAAAATATCATTTTAATGTTGTATTTCAAGTCGATTTTGCTGTGTAGCTATATTTTTGCGATTGTTTAATCGCAGTTTTTTTTCTGCACACAACTAACACAGCAGTTAAGATAAACATTACATAAATTTCTATACATATAATAAAATTCTGAGTCGAATCGGTACGTTAAATATTTTTTGGAATTTTTTATTGGAATGTTTAATACTTGACTTTTATCGATGCAGTGGCCGAATCTATAGTTTTTAGAATTTTTGCCTGTCTGTCTGTCTGTCAACGTATCACGAGAAATCCACTGGACATGTTTTAATGAAATGCTTATGATAGCTAGTTATTTGGGTCAACATATAGGATACTTTTACTGCGGGAAAATATCTCATCTCTGAGAAATCTATATGCACTAAACGGTAAAATATTAAATACATACACAGGTAAAGATTTTTTTCAGTCAATCCATGAACGTTAGTAATCGTGTAATTTAGTGCAAAACGACGTAAAATAGCATAATGTACTTAGTATATTGATGTATTTTATGTAAATAAATAAGGAAAAAAACATACATACATTTCATTATACATACACATTATAATCATAAACTAGCGACATATCCTAGCTTCGCTCGGGTGCATCCCTATTTGCCTACGCCTCTAGGGTACTAAATTTCATCCAAATATGTCCAGACGTTTTAGAGTAACAAACATACACACATACATTTATAACATTGGTTTTATGTACGTTTTGTCTTCGTGATAATACATGTAGACTTTTAAGAATATCTTTCTTCTAAAACTGGACAGTTGAAATAATATATCACCCAGACTGTAGCCATCAGTCAAATAAGCATAAAAGGAGAGATTGGATCTTCGCAAACTCAGTTTTATTCGCGGAAATGGAAATTTTAACAAGAAAAGATGGTTTTTCTCATTTCTCATTGAGATCACGTCCCATAATCTATGGGATTGTTCATTTGTTCAAGGCGTTATAATAAACTGGTTTTCGCCCGTGCTTTTGCACTACATGATTACCGCTAGTCTCACGGTGAAGAAAAGACATCGTGAGGAAACCTGCATGTTTGAGAGAACCTAACAAGTTTTCGCAAGACATGTGAAGTCCTCTTACCCGCGCTATGACCTGATCCCTCTCATATTGTAGAAAGACCCTTGCACACCAGTGGGACCATAAAAATGGTTGAATACATACATACATGAATATATATATTTAATAATAATAGTCTAAGTGGAAGACAGATTTGTGAATCTTTATTATAATGAGGATAAAAATAAAAAATATATAAGTATAGATATGTAGTAGTTCAGGTAAATAATTCAGGATATAAGCATTATCCATTTGGAATTTCTCTCAAATCTGTTGAACCGTTAAAGCGTGAAGAAGAAATAAACAGTCATACACAGAAACTTTTACATATTTAATACGTAAAATATCTTACAATTTTGTAAAAGTTCTATTGGATTCAGGAAAAATATTGAATGGTTTAATATTAAGACGTGAAAGTTGTCTTAGTTTATCACGTACTTTGTATCGCGAATCAAATAATTCTAGTGGGAATCACTATTAATCCGAGACATTGCAAAACCTTATTAGAATAATTAGCATCGAATATATATACTTAGCTTAATAACTTGTACTGTATCTGAATTAAAAAAAAATCTTAATACGCCCAAACTCAGTTACGTTTACAATATACTCGTATATGTACATAAAAAGTCAAAGACTGTTTCAGTGTTATTTCCTAATCTGTTTGTCCGATTTCCTTTTGTTTTTGTTTAGTATATTTTATTCATTTTATTCATTCCCACTGCTGGGCCCCATGCCCACTTATGTTCGCCACCTTCTTTCGATACGAGGTGAAGGTGGCGAACATAAGTTATACTTAAATCGCTACCCGCTTCAGTCTATAACTTGTCCCATCAATAATTACCCACATGAATACATCCCGTGATTGGTAAAATCATTAGACCAATTACCGTTTTGACTCGTCTTTTGATGAAACGTGAACAGAAAATACGTCCTTATTAGAAAGGTACTAGATTCGATTCCAATAAAGTATTGATGCAGAAGGATCGAAGCCAATTTGCAATGTTACTTGAATGTTGAAATCTTTTGAGAATACTCTTGTATGCACTATTGTTATTGGAGTTAAAGCACGGAATAAGCAATATTCTTAAATGTATTTCGTTTTTGTTATTCGGAGGTTTTGTGGTTGTGATAAAGCTTTTTTACATAACATGACATACATATAATCTGGAACTGGTTTTTTATATTAACAACTCGTTCACTCGGGTTCGTCCATAGGTACGTTTTAAAGATTCGTATGGAATAAATAGACTATATTTTAGATATAGGTATCATGAGCTGTTGTGGGTTATATAAAAACATTTTTGCCTTTTTCACTCTCTAGCCCTCCAAATATCTCCACACAAAAAATCACGTCAATCCGTCACTCTGTTACGGCGTAAAAGAAGGACAACAAACAAACACACTTTCACATTTATTATTATTATAAGAGATCTATTAATCGACCCCCAAACGAGGGGAAGACATTTTTTTATTTAATTTAAATATTTATAAAACATCATTGTACTTCATTTGACGACACGTGTGGCTCAGTTTGTAGTGACTTGACTTGAGTACTTGCTACATCGCGGGTTCCAATCCCGCTGGAGACATTCATTTGTGTGATGAGCACGAATGCTTGTACTGCGGTCGTGGGTGTTTATATTCATAATATGTATGTATTTAAAGTTATATATGTGTAGTGTATCAACTATCTGGTATCCATAACACAAGCCGTAGTCGTAGCTTACCATGGAACTAGATGGGACTGTGTGTTAATGTCCCAACATATTCATGTTTTATTTTGTATTTCTACATAAACAAAATAATGTAATATTGCGAGTTCGAGCATAATAGTCTATACTAGAATCTACAGTTCCAACAAACAATTCGTTTTCATTACACTTTAACAAGATCAACTTATCCGACTATAATTCATGGAATACCCTCTCATACTTTGCTCGACGTAAAAAACCTAAACTATCTAAAAGTGCTGAAACTTGTTCAGAAAATTTGCTGGCGCTTGCGTTTTATTTTCTATAAATATTTAAAACTTTACCAGCGCAAGTTTCGGGTTAACGATTAATATATTTAGAATGTAGGACATTTTTGTTCATACCCCGCGATATTGTTAGAATTCTTTACATGCGTGCCTTTTAAAAAAACCTTATACGTTTTTGTATTTTTACAATAGTAAATTTAATTTAATAGTTTCTTTGATTCACTCGAATATTTGACATCTATACTTACATATAATAAAATTCTGAGTCGAATCTATACACTAAATGTTTTTTTAGAAAATGTTATTGAAATACTTATTATTATCGACAGAGGCAGAATCTATAGTTCTTAGAATGTTCGTCTGTCTGTTTGTGTATACTGTGAGAAAATGTTTCATCTCAGAAATTTATACTTACCTTAAAAGTAGGGACGAACCCGAGCGTAGCGAGGGCGTGTCGCTAGTTTTAAATAAAATTATCTTTTCGGTTTTTTTCGCGGATTTATTTATTTTTGGTTTCCGATTTTTAATGCTTTAACTAAGCATGGTCACGACAAACAACCGAAAGGATAGTTAGGTATATTTTAAATAGTGAATTTGGTTAAGATTTTCTTTAAAAATTCAAAATTTCAGATGTTTTTATGAAAAGATAATAAGTTTTTCAGGCATAGGGATATAAAGAAGGAGTCATACATATGTACATCGTCATAGTAAAATCATAAAACCATTTGCTTTCATTACAATATGCCTTTTCAAACCAAAACAATTAGTACTTTATGTTTGTAAATAATTAAATAGAAAGCGTTAATTATTCATATAGTTTTAATGTGAAAGGTATAACATTGAAAATATAATTTATGTAATTAGCTCAATGGTCCAGTAGTTAACATGTATGGCTGAAGATCATGAGATCGTAAATTTGAATCCTGAGTCAGGCAAAAAATAATCACTGGTTTTTTCTCACTAAATACTCAGTAGGCCAGAATAGTCTTCCGTACTCTGGAGTTGGGAGGTTGGCGGAATTAACACCCCAGTTCCTCGAAAAACAGCAATGCTTATGTCATTGTCACTTAACTATATGTATGTTACGCTCAATTAGCTAGTCTCAATATGACTGTGTAACCGAAATACTAGTAGCAAAATATGATATGCAAAGTCTCTTAAGAAATCTATCTACAAGAAAGCTTATATTTTATTGTATTTTTTAACAAATTGTTCCACTGAGCCCTCTCAAAGGCAAGCATAAATTCATTAAATCACTTGAGAAATTAATCGAAACCATAAAGTATTCAAACTAAAACAAAACAAACGAACGACGAAGAGATAGCTGTTGAAAAGTGAAAAACGATCTCAGCGCTGAAGTTCTAAAAGTTTAACTTAACTGGTTCGGTTTGAATCTTAATTACTTAAAGTTATGTTTGGAGTTAAATGGAGATAAACTGCATACTAGTAATTTGCAATACAAAAGCTAGATACATTTACAAACTATTCTTAGCATTGTATTGTCTTGAGTAATGCAAGAGTGATCTATACTAATATTATAAAGAGGAAAGGTTCTTTTGTTTGTTTGTTTGTACCAAATAAGCTCCGATACTACTAAACCGATTTAGATGAAATTTGGTAAGAGGATAGGTTGAGACCCTAGAAAGGACATAGGGTAATTTTTATCCCTGAAATCATCCCTTAAGGGGTTGAAAATGAGGATGGGAGACTATTATTGCCGATATATATGAATGCGAATTTGTTTGTATGTTTGTTTGCTCAATTTTTTTTAATTTATAATTTTCCTTTATTTCAGAACAAGTGGTCGAATGTCGGAAAATGTTCTCTCGTTTAAAGCAGATGCGTCGGACAACAAGGCGCGGTACACGTGTGAAGCCAAGAATATAATGATTAGCAACACTCTGAAGGCTGAAATTGATTTAACAGTGCTATGTAAGTATATCTTAATTTTTTTTAAATGGTGTTTTGCGTAATAGACTACCTGTCTAGGTAGTCAACGCAGGGTGGGTCTATCCAGAGCAGGCAGGAGAGTGTCTACCCTCACTACGCTAGTCCTTAGGTTCCAATTATTGTCAGTTGTTGTCAAAAACGGCAATTTTATCGGACCACAATTAATGTGATTATGATTTCTGACATTAAACATATTATTATCGGAATAAAAAAATTTGCCTATAACACTCAGCGGTAATGTAGCAGAATCGGTTCAGTAGTTTCAGAGATTACCCTCAACGTGCAAACTTACAAACTCTATCTCTTTATAATATCAGTGTAGATTAAGATTATATCTCATCTTTATAATAGGTAAACAGACTTTGAAATCACTTTGATCTGTAAAAAAACAAAATATTTGACATTCCGAATACTTTTATTTCCTTAAAATTGAACAAATTGAATATTTTTTCTTCGAAATCAGTCAAAAAGAAAATAGTTTCTTTCGTAACTTGAAAACTTTGTGTAACTATCCTCCGGTCATTTTAACATGATTCGAAAGGATGTCGAGTAAAATCGTTACGTACACACAATTCTGATCTGCCCTTTCGGTATTCTAAGTCCTTTGACGAAACTCTGCTAAACAAGATATTCTGAGATTCAATAATGTGGCATAGAAGGAGATATAGCGATGAAATATATTTTTAGTACTCCGTTATATAGATACTTCTGTAATTTGAGCATTATTATTAACTTTTTCTCGCCGTTCTGCTCAAGTTAAGATGAAAAATGTACGTCACTCACACGAATTACCTATCAGCAAGTGAAAGTTTCATTAACATTGATTTAGCCACTCAGTTTTTTTCTTCATTTTTCTTTTTTGGAATAAAACATCGTTTGTATCATTATTGCCAAAATTATTTCTACTCTATCAAAATCGAATTTAAAGATTAATAGCTAAAAACAGACATATTTCGTTATGAGCCAAATAAGCATAAGAACTCTTTTATACATAAGCTTGGTTTAAATAAATGTAGATCACCACATATTATAAAATAAAGTCCCCCGCCACGTCTATTTGTCTGTCTGAAATGGATACACTCAAAATCTACGATTTTCATACAATTTTCACAAATAGATATTAAGTAGACTGATTCATGAGGAAAGTTTAGAGGTGTATAATTCATTAAGGTTTTGTGTAAATTGGCTAAAATATGATGATGATTGTTGAAGATGTCGGAAAAATTATGCCGACTGACATGCGCCGTGTAAATTAATAGAGTTATATGAAAACAATGTATTACAGAATTATTCCTCTTAAAAAGATCTTTCTATCAAACTGTAGCAACGCTATATACACGTACCTAGAGAGTAGAACGCACCCGAGCGAAACCAGGTTAAGTCACTAGTTTATGTATAAAATACTAGCGACTCACCCTCGCTTCGCTCGGATTCGTTTCTAGGTTGTTTCCCCATACAAACTTTCATTCCATTTTCACCCCCTTAAGGGATGATTTCCGGGATAAAAACTATCCTATGTTCTTCCCAGTGTGTTAAACTATCTTTTCACTAAATTTCATATAAATCGGTCCAGTAATTTCGAAGCTTATTCGGTACAAACAAACAAAAAAATCTTTCCACTTTATTATATCAGTATAGAAAAAGAAACTAATGGAGAAATAAAAATCTTCTACCAATTTTTGAATTGATTTAGAAATGGTACTAGAATGCTAGTATTAGATATTAAAAATGCAAAAGCCAGTCGTCTAACCCGCACATATATAACATTCTTATTGTTTATTAAAGTAAACCAAGTCCCAGAAGTAAACAGATGTTTGTAAGAAATATATTTTTTCACAACAATTTGACTTCTAAAGAAATGTCGAGGGTTCCTTCGATTAGATCTGGAAAGTTGTACTTATTTTTGTTAAATTAACCCTTCAAAATACAAGGCATTCGGGATAAAATATAAAGGGTTTCTAAGAAGTTCCTTCAAAAGGGTCATGTACTAGTTTTTTCTATGGTATATTCAGGCTGTTATGGGTAATGTACTGAAATTGTCATGGGAATATATATATATATATATATATATATATATATATATATATCCTCAATGTCTTAAACTATTTTCTTACCAAATTTCATCTAAATCGGTTCCGTATTTTCGGGCTTATTCGGTACAAAAAACAAACAAAAAATCAAATCTTTCCTCTTTTATAATATTAGTATATTTGAAATTATTGATTAATTAACTTTTATATTGTGTTCATTATAATAAATATCCTAATTTAAATAAAAATTTCAAATGATTAAACACATTTTAAATTGATTTAATTATATTAGTAAACTTTAAAAATTTAATTTAAATACTTCATTGGGCTCTGGGAGCAAGTATGCATGCTGACCCAATTAGCACGAATTAATAAATTTTGCTAAAAATGAACATATTTTAAGGCAGGACAATTCATTTTCTGACAAGAAAAACTATGTTTATGACATCTATATACTTTGAAAGTGATAAATCTTGAAGATATCTCTATATATAAAGGCAAAGACAAAACAGTTCAGTACCTTTTTCTCCTCTGTATGTCAACCGATTTTTTTTTTGTAGTAGCTTTGACCATGACTGTGAAACGCATGGATATAAAAGTAGTTAACACTTAAGGGAATTCATTCTATGCTAATATTATAAATATTAGGCAGAGTATGTTTGTTAGTTTGATTGTTTGTTTGAACAAGCTAATCTCAGGAATTTCTAGGCCGATTTGGAAAAAAAATTTGCTTTAGATAGTCCGCTTGTTAAGGAAGGTTATAGGCTATCTCATCATGCTACTGCCCAAGATAGCGGAGCAATAATCATAAATGTGAACAAATCGGGTAGACTTCCATACATTACGAAAGGGAAGGGTCTAGGAACGAACCCGAGCGAAGCGAGAGCGAGTCGCTAGTATGTTGAATGTAGAGTGGGAGAGAAATGAACTTTAAAATAAAATGTTTTAAATGTTTGTCTTTACTTCTAACTTTGACAAGCTTAAAATCTACTGAAAGAGGAAAATAATTCTAACGTTTATTTTTAACTAAGATTTAGAAGCTTTTAAATGTAACACTTAGCATTTTACAACTGAACAAATATCAAACTTAAGAATATTTTCCTTTAAGATATACTAATATTATAAATGTGAAAGTGTCTTTGTTTGTCCTCCTTTCACTTCGAAACAGAGTGGCGTGATTTTGTGTAGAAATACTTAGAGGGCTGGAGAGTGAAATAGGCTACTTTTTACCGCAGGAGATTATCTCATTCCCACGGGAAAATACGCTATAATACAACCCACTACAACTCATGATTCCTATGTTGTATGTATATTGTACATATACAATATATAGTCTATCTATTCCATACTAAGAGTTAAAACGAACCTAGGGACAAACCTGAGCGAAGCGAAGGTGAGTCCCTAGTCTATACATATATAAATAGGCAAAGACAAAACAATTTAGGGCTTTTTTCTTCTGTATTTTTCAATCGATTTTCTTTTTTTTTGTGGATATTAAAGAACTTTAGTATTATCAATAAAAAATTGTGGAATCAGTATTTTTTATATAGGTAAGTAAATTATATTCATATATGTTTTCTCTTTTCAATAATGTGTATAATCTAATTTAGACCACTGGACGAGCACTAGTTTATATAACAAACAGCTGTAGTTTTAGTCCAAATATGTTCTGAATACTGATCACTTTGTTCGAAACTTGAACACGCTCTTCCTGTTTGCTAAAGAAATCCTACCAAATCGATTCAACTGTAAACTACAATTCTTTTGAAAACTTCCAATATAATACATTTTGAATGCGTGAATAACTTGACAAGCTCCTTAAAACGTGTTTATAGCTAGCCTGGATGGAGCTTTCCTTGCAAATAAAGATTTCTAGTATGTTTTTAAAACTTAGTTTCTTCACAATAACAAATCAAAATGTACTTTATTCAAATAGACTTTACAATTATTTTACATTTTTAAAATTTAAATTAAATGTCAGTATGTATGTCCGTAATAAAGCTACCACCAGCTGGAGTGTGTGTGTTATTCTAAATCTTACTGCAATTAAGATAGTAGATTAAATTTTTGTGCGGGTTATTTATTTTGAACATATGATTATTGGCTCCATTAATATTACCAATAATCCCATTCATATTATAAATGCGAAAGTTTGGCTGGATGTTTGTTACTCAATCATGCCAAATCTGCTGAACGGATCTGGGTGAAATTTGGCACAGAGATTGTAGTCTGGAATAGCACATAAGTTACTTTTTATCTCGGAAAAATGTTTGTTTTTGATTTTCACTTTCTAGTGATATACATGTACATACAATACATATAGAGTAGCGTTGGGAACAATATCAACCTCAATGTAATTTAAAAAGGAATTAAGTCATGGCGATATAAGTCAAATTTAATGGTCATATAATTATATACAGAAGCCCTACCAATTTATTTTTGTGTAGGGCAGCCAATTTAACTGAAACCATAGGGCATAAGTGCATGCGCATAGATAAGTGCACTCTATATTTCCTTTATTCATGAGAGTTACTATGAAGTCTATGAAGTCCGGTGGGACGGCATATCGATACAACCCGAGTGAGATCTGGCGGCCTTTAGTTGCAACTGCAGGTTGTTACTGAGAATTTCTTAACAGACAAATCTAAGTACTATTTTAGTCTGCTTAGAGCCTAGGGCTTTAGGCTCTGCAGATTTTCATGCTAGCCAATAGACCAATAGGCAGTTCATAATTATAAACTTTGTGGATTTGTCAGCACGTTTTGATCAGTTTGTAGTGACCCTACTTGCTATGCGCGTTTACTGGTCACGCGTTCGAGTCCCGCTGGTGGCATTCATTTGTGTGATAAACACGACTGTTTGTACTCCAGTCATGGGTATTTATATTTATAAGATGTAATAAAAAAAGAAAAGATGCATATAAAGTTATATATCTGATATCCATAACACAAGCCTCGTAGTTTTTTACCATGAAATTCGATGGTGCTGTGTGTTAATTTCCAAAAAAAAAAACAATAGAGCCGTTGAGTAAAATAACAAAGCCATTCATAGTAAGAGAATAATAACTATCTTATACTAAATCGTACATTTAAACAGATATAATACTTTAAAATAACAATCCTATCGCAAATCTTTTCAAGCCAAAAACTCGTCCCAACTTTAGATATATGACCGACTATTTTGTTTAACCAAACACAAAGTTCTCTAAGTGACAATGCCTCGAAGACGTAAACTTATGAGTTGGTACACAAAATTTATTGGTGAAAAATCGTTTGAAGTCAGGTGTTGAAAACTTTCACGTATACGTCATATATGTGATTTAATATTTGTCAAAGTACTATGGTTTTTATACATATTCTTGGAAGGTACAGAGAAAAAAACCCATTAACTAAATAAAAACCCCTAAGTTTAGTTCTCATATTATTAACTAAGGACTTACCCTTGCTACATTCCGGTCCTAAGTGGTTATGTGTTAATCCAAGTAACAGTCTGTATACTGAATTTTATCTACTTCCATCCAGCCGTTTTAGCGTAAATAATACTGTCTTAAATTTACGCGAATATTTGAAATTTTGATTAAAACGATCTTTTCGGATGATTTCCCCAATTTTTTTTTTTCTGCGGTAAAATCCAAAAAGATAGTGATATTGATACCGCAACGGCATTTCGATCTAAATATACGAGTTTAAATTAAGATGCTTCCCAATACAAAATGTTATCCTCAGGAATCCTCCTGTGCTTTAGGAAAAATATAACGTGCATAATATAAAAGCATATAATAATATGAACTTTTTAAGTTTTCGAACGTTTTCCAAACGTAAAACTCCGTTACACGAGTTCCATTCTAGCACTCCAACCTTTTATTGTGCATAGAAATTGTAGAAAAATTTATCGAATCTACTTTTCAATATGTCCGTTGAAATGACCACGAATAAGAAAACCTAGCCAATAGTTTCAAATCTTACACAACTTTTAATTTTCTTTCATTGGCGCCTCAAACTTGGCACTATTTTTTTACTTTGTTTCACTCAAAACTGGAGTTGAGTTTTATTTGAAATTTTAAGCAATTGTTCCATTTGTTTCGTGAATAATTGTTAAGAAAAGACATTGAATCGTGAATTTTTTATAGCGTATCCTTTCTTTTAAATGAGAAATTTTTCGCTTGAAATAAGTCTTGGGAACAATTGAAATACGGTTGTTTCGAATCTCCAAGGTATGACCACATATAGTATTCACTGTTTAATAAATATATAACGAATGATATTGCTATTCTATGTACGTTCTATTCATATTACTAAATTTTTATGCCAAATATGGAATAGTACTCCTAATATGGAATATCATTGCTTAAAAAAAGCTTGGAAGCTCGTTTTAAGTTCAAATTATGTCTCATTTACTCACTTAGCTGTGTGATTTATTTTATAACGACTGGACTGTGCAAGATATGGCGACAAAAGAGCATGTTTTGTCAACAATAGACTCAAGACTAAAGGAACTTAATTAAGAAAAGTATTATTTATATTAACTAGTTAGAAATAACATAAGATTAAAAATTTTTCATGTTTTATTTTTCTTTATATTATATTCAGTACAATTTATTTTATGTAGGTTATAAGACTTAGATTAACGCGAATATTTGACGTTTAAATAAAACTACCTTTCCGGATTGTTTTGCGGATTTATTTTGATTCTCGGTTCCCGACGTTTCAAATGCTTTACAACAATCATGGTCACGGGAGAGACTGGTTTCTGGAAAAGATAGTTTTATTTTAAATAGGTTTTTAATTGGGTCGTTAATCCTAAATATGGACAGTGCTAAGGTGTCCAATTATAGATGATTGCATATAAAGGGTCTATTACTGAGGTAGTAATACGTAATTCTGTCCATTACGCTATACAATAAGTTGTTGAAAATTCTCACTTTTCTAGTGATATATTATAACGTAAGAATATAACGAATTTGCTTCAATACACTTAGTGGCTTAAATGGATTCAATTACTTATAAGATTAGAATTTCTTGTCTGAATATGACGCAATATTTGCGATATGATTAGTAATTTTCTTTATTTCTTAATTAACTTCTTGGTAGGTTTTACTATAGGTATTTAAAAAAAAACAGATTTTTAAATAGCTTCATTTAAAAAAAATTAATATGTGAACTAATAAATCCAAATATAGTTATTTGTATTTTGTACATCTGTTTTTTTACATTTACAATGACGGCTAAGCAGATGCTTAGTGGCATATTTCGTTATAAATATTATTGGATATTATAATATGTATTTAATGACACTTTACTGATGCTACTCAAGTAATAGTACTTTTTTAGATTTATGGGAATGTTTGACATTTAAAATAAAACTATCTTTTGAGATTTTTCCCTCGATTTATTTTGACTTTTAGTTACGTCTCCGTGGAAAAAGTCAGAAAAGATAGTTTTATATAGTCAAATAGTTCCCATTTTAATGATTTTAACTCACAATTTCGCGAGTTCATATAAAAAATAATGTGTCAGAAGAAGCTTTATATAATGAATATTTTTTTTTACAGTTGCACCATCCCATGTCACAATATCGGGCCCCTCAGAAGCTCGTGTAGGGGATCCTGTACCATTGAGTTGCAGTACAGCCCCATCGAACCCCGCGGCAGACATCAAATGGCTGGTCTTGGGAAAACATCATAGGGAAGCTAGCAATCGCACAGTCATATCCCCTGAAGGTTAGTCTTTATAGTATTATTTTTCCATTGACAATTTTTACTAATGTTATCTGAATATATATATTTGTGTCTCAACTGTTTGATATATATTGTCATAAAATTTTGTGAAGAAAACCATGGTATCAATTACTAGTATACACACTCTTCCTGTACTTCTTTACAAAATAGTGAACCCTCCCTCTTCAGCCCCATGAATATAAATACTACGTCTATTGTAGGTGTCTATCACTAGACTTTATCCAATTATACAAGGGCAGATATTTCATACAAAATCATTAAAAAATATATTTCCACTTATAAATATTTTTACTTTTGTAATATTTTTTTCTCACATTCATTTCTATGGTGGACCATAGTGTAATAAATTTAAATAAATATGTCGGGATATTAACACACAATACCATCTTCTTCTATGGTAAGCTACGAGGCTTGTGTTATGGATACCAGATAGTTGATACACTACACATATATAACTTTAAATACATATATATTATAAATATGAACACCTATGACTGGAAAACAAACGTTCGTGCTCATCACACAAATGAATGCCCTAACCCCAGCGGGACTCAAACCCGCGACCGCTGGCACAGCAAGTAGGGTCACTACAAACTTGTCGTCAAAAAAATAATTAATATATTATTCATTATTTATATAAATATACTCTTATTTCAACAGGAGGCTGGATAACTACATCGAATATAACAGTGGTGGTGGAACCTAACCGTCGCTCGATAGTGGTCGTGTGTCATGGCATCAACGGTCAGTTAACTGAAAACGTGGTCTCTACACACACTATCAACGTGCTATGTAAGTATTTTATAATATAAAGTTAAACACTTGTTCTTCCATATCATTCATATATTATGTATAATGTGCTCAAATAAAAAAAAAAGACTGAACTGATGTTTTGAAATTTATTTAATATTTTTAATGAGAAAATGCAGTAAATCTTATTTAAATTATTTCTTTTACTTTGTTTTTGATAGTCGGTCAATGTCTTTTTCGAATTATTTTTTTGTATTATTGTGGATGGCTAGAAAATAATTGTGAAATTATTCTTTAAACGAAAACAAATCGTACTCAATAGGGGTATTTCCGTATAGATTTAAAATAGCCTTAAATGTAAAATAATAATTTTTAAAATGATTTCAGCTAATTAGTATTTAAAAGAGAATTTTAAAAATTGCAGAACAAATTTCGATAAAATTTTATACCGTGAATAGAAACGTATATTCAAAGCAAAAAATTTCTACCAAGCTGCATCGTATAGGTACATGAATATTTCATTCATCTAATTTTTAACTTTGTAAATATTTTACCGAATGCCATTCAAAGCCAACTTTGATTGACAGGACGATACAGCAGATCTAACGTAGTCCATCTTTAATCAACTAAGTGAGAGTTTTCCTTTTTTAAACGTAGCAGTAGCAAAAACGTTATTTTTTGTGAAAAAAATTGCTTTTCCAATCACGTATGTCCAACCCTTCGAGGAAAATAAACAAAATTGGTAATGAACAAACAGCACGAGAGAAAGTTAAATATATATGAATATGTTTTTTACGATATTGCCAATAAAATTTGCTTCTTTAATAATATATTAGTAGTGACCTTTGTACCGTACCGCCCTCCTCTGGCTTAGGTTTTTTAGCTGCAGGCTGTCCCAGGGGACTAAATTAATATATTAGGATTAATGGAGAGATTCGTAGTCGTAACATTAAGTCAAAGTCTTTGCGAAGTGAACTTTACACTCTAAAGCTTATTTTCAATAATATTGATTTCTCAATCATATATTATACTAGCGACTCACCCTCGCTCCGCTCGGGTTCGTCTCACAGACAGACAAAAATTCTAAATACGGCAATAGATTCGGCCTCTGTATCAAAAACAATTACTATTTTAATAAGCTTTTCCAAAAAATATTTGATGTACAGATTCGACTCAGAATTTTATTATATGTATAGATAGTTGATATTTTCATTAACAATCATTTCTAAGCTTAATAAGCTGTATAAATTTAAATGACACATTTTGTTATAATTTGATACGATTTAAGCTAGTATGTAACTTATTCGGATAGCCGTTTCAAAGTGTGCTTTAGTTCAAAAATAACCAATAATGACTGCTCCTTACTAAGCAAAGTACGGTATTCTAAAGTAAAGTTAGCGTTTACACACTACATTTTCCTATCTGCGTTTACTACACATATATAACTTTAAATACGTACATATTATAAATATAAACACCCATGACTGGAGTTCAAACAGGAGCTCATCACACAAATGAATGCCCCCAGCGGGACTCGAACCCGCGACCGCTGGCACAGCAAGTAAGTTCACTACAAACTGAGCCAAACGTGGCGTCAATCGTCGCGTGTGTGTCGTAGGTATTTCTTTTGCTAAAAGTAGAACTTTGATATAAACTGTAAGTACGGATCTATGAATCTCGTCCTAAGACCGTAGTAGCTTAAGTTACTTACCGGTCAATAACCCATTTCTATGCAAATGCTTCGAGTCACCGAACTTTTAACTTAGATTTGTTATCATGATTTGATAATAAGTTTGTTTTAATATCATGACAGTAAAAGGACCACAATATCTATAAAACAATCTCTACATAATATTAAATATGTCGCTCCCGCTGTTTGTACGCTTAGATCTTTTAAACTACGCAACAGATTTTAATGCAATTTTCAGCAATAGATAGAGTGATTTAAGAGAAAGGTTTATATTTATAATACATGCATATTATATTGCGGGTGCCGGTTCCGGGTGAGTCGCTATTATACAATAATTACAAAAAATAATTACCACATTTACATACATATTGATTTGAGTAATGCTTTTGATCTACAAAAACGGGAAATACCTCAATAAATCTCCTAAAAAGCTGCTCAAGTTAAAAATTGTATAAAAAGCTCCTTTTTATCTATTCGTTATTTTTTTTAATATTCGTAACGGTTCAAATAAGATTTTAAAGGAAATAAAATGTATAAGTAGAAAAAACATTTTTTTTAATTTTTTTTTTGTAGAAACTCAAAAATAAATTTATTTTTGAACAGAAATTCTCGCAAAATAATTTAACTTACGATTTCAAGCAAATTTAATGTTTTCATGTACATATAAAACTAAATCTAAACGAGAATATTTTCTTTTAGTTAATAAAAACATCATAACCATCCAAGCTAACATTAAGACAAAGTATTACGTGCTTTGAAAGCTTTAGTCAGCTCCTTAGAAGTGCGATATAATGTTATGTAATATAAAATTATAACTTTAGTATGTCTTTATATCGTTGAAAATATTTGAATTAGTAAGTCGTTGAGTCTTAACTGATTTTAATAAAAGAAAGTTCTCAATTATATTTTATAATGTTAAATGAATAATTCTTGTATATGTATAAATTTATTTCGTGTATTTCAGAAACGGCTCTAACGATTTGGATCAAATATTAAATATTGTATTTAGATAAGTTTTATTTTTAAGTTTATTTATATAGGTGTAGTTTCTGTTAAACGCAATATCTGTGTCTTTTTCAAAAAACCAAACCGCTCAGGTACTTTTTTTTAAATTTATAAAACAAGAATTTGTTAATTTTCTTTGATGTTAAACTATTTTTACTTTCATGTTAATTCAAATCCTAATGTACGATTAAAAGTACTGAATTCAGATGGATATTTGTTTGTGTATGTGTCGCAATATCTTCGCAAATTGGGGACAGATTTTAATTATTGTTTCGTAATGAATTTCTTATACTTATAAAAACTTTAAATCCTATAAAAATAAATAATATTTTTAAGATTATGCAAATTCTATAACAATGTACTACAATTCATCAATCACGAAAATTACGATATAAGCTTCAGAACATCTAAGCAAACAGCTTTCGCCAAATTAAAACGCTGACTTCAAATAATATAAAACTTTTTATTCCCAAATAATCATAAAATTGATGCGAATTATCATAATTCCTGCATGTAGAGTGGAGGTTTAATGGAGTTTAATTCATTTTCAACGTAGAATGTCCAATACTTCATTTATATTATGAAAACAAAGTAGAGTTTGTTTTATTAGTAAATAACTATATAAATAGATTGTTAGTCTATTAGCTTGGATGGATGCGATTCTGGAGATCCTAGGTTCGATGCTCATGGTGGTTCAAGTACAATTATTATGCCTTTTTTATTAAGAAATTCTTTGTAGCCAAAATTTAAAGTGTCTTAGGACGACTAAATATTATTTATGTTTTGGAGGACAAAATATAGATAAAACTAAGGAAATATTGATTTTAAAAATCGATTTCATAATTGGTGAACAAAAACAACAAAACTGACATACAACATAATTATGCACCTCCTTCTGGAAGTCGGTTAAAATTGAAAAAAAATATCAAAAATCTGATAAAAACAGGCGATATCGCAGGACACAAATAGTTTTATATATAACATAAAAGTCTCAACAAATGTTAAAACTGATAAATCGTTAAGCTATTTCTCTATCTTCCATTAATATAGCTGTTTCTTTCTGACATTGATTAAGTACCGTTTATACCACACGATCTGAGAATTGCATTCAATAGAAATGTTAAATGTATAAAAATCGTGGCGTATAAATTGATTATCCCTTACATGGAAAGAAAATAGAAAAGGAAATGAATTAATTTTTGTGAAAAAAAATTTTTTTTGCTTCTTTAAATAAACTAATTAAACTCAAGACTTAAGTTCTTACATGTGTCTCTAAACACATCTGCGTGTTTTATACATTTGCCAGGCACGGGTATCGAACCCGTATTCAATGACCATTTTCGACCCACTCATCAACGCTGTCTTAAATAATAGAAAACCACTATATACTCATTATAGTTAAAAAACGTCTATTATAAGTCAAACGACTGAACGGATTTCGATGACATTTACAGTATACATACAGATTATGATGGGGAGTAACACATGCTCTTGTTAGTAATAAAAAAATCCGAAAGATGGCGTTTCTTGTATATAATATTATAAAAGTGTTTCTAACGCATTTAGTAACTCATATAGTTTTAATCTCGGTATAATATAGCTCAAAATAAATTATTCTAGATAATTTTACTCTAGATATTTGTATGCACTGTAATGCTAGTGTGGAATGGAGAAATAAACATCTCCAACTTAAGTTAGCAATTTCCTTTGCGAATTTCTACAATTCTTTCCTTAATTCCTTATTTAATGCAGCCATTTTCTTGTATTGTTAAATCTGACTTTATGATTTTAATTTTTATATTTAATATTAAAAATGGTTAATTCAACTTGTTCTTTGTAACGTTACCTCCTAGTAGGTAACAAGTTCGATTAAAGGCAAAGTGTTTTAAGAAAATACCTATTATAAAAAAACCGGTGTTTGTTTGTTTAAAATGACTTTATATTATAAAGAGAAAAATAAATAGTTTTTTATATATTTGTTTGTAATGGATAAACTAAATCCGCTGAATCGATTTTATGAAATTTGGTATGAAGATGGTTTGAGACCCAGGGAAGGGCATATGATAGTTTGTATCCCGGAAATCATTCTTTAAGGGGGTGAATATTTGGATAGGGAACCAATCATTTCTCAAGTAAAGGATATAAAACATACCTATATATATATATATATATATATATATATATATATATATATATGTAGTCTATCTATTCCATACTAACCGTTAAAACGTACCTAGGGACGAACCCAAGGAAAGCGAGAGTGAGTCGGCTAGTATAAGTAAAGCTAAATCATTTTTCGTAATCCATTAACGTATAAGTATTTACTCATTAGTGTAGGCACATAATT